ATTGCAAATGCCATGATACTTGTTGGAGTATCAAAAAATTGATTGCAAGTATTGAGGGATAACGGTTGGAATTCTCTTATTGATGAAGTGTCAAATTTTTGTACCAAATATGATATATTGACACCTAATTTTGATGAGCTTCATGTTATTCTTGGAAGATCACGCCGGAGAATTGCAGAATACACTATTTTACATCACTATCATGTTGAAGTATTTTATAAAATTATTGATTGACAACTTCAAGAACTTAATAATCGCTTTGATGAGGTGACTATCGATTTGTTTCTTGGAATCACTTGTTTATATCTAGTTGAATCATTTTCAAGCTTTGAGATCGAAAAGATATTGAAATTGGCTGAGTTATATCCTAATGATTTTGATAAACATTCTATGGTTGATCTTCGTTCTCAGCTTGAGAATTATATAATTAATGTTCGGGATCATGATAAAAGGTTTTCCAATCTTAAGGGACTCAGTTATTTTTCCGAGAAACTAGTTGAGGCAAAAAAGCATAGAACTTATCCTCTTTTATTTCGACTAGTGAAATTTGTTTTACTATTGCCAGTTGCCACTGCTACAGTTGAAAGAACCTTCTCTGCGATGAAATTGATTAAGTCTGACTTACGAAATCGAATGGACAATGAGTTTTTGAGTGGTTGTTTGGTGCCTTATATAGAAAAGGAAGTATTTAGTCGTGTTTCTAATGAGGATATTATGTATACCTTTCAAAATATGAAATTTCATAGGGGAGAACTTTAGTTATGTACTTGAATTGAGTTTTATTATTATGATTTGAGTCATTTTTCCTAATATAATATTATTGCAATGATTTTTTCATTTTTATTAATTATTGACAAAGGTTATCCAACAAAAATAATGGTCTAAAACCAATTTAAATATAAGGCCCTGTAACTTCTTTTCCTTTTTTCTTCTTCATTTTTTTAAAGATATTAATCATTTATTTGCAATGCAATCTCATGCTGAATAATGTTGTATGAAACTTTATTTAATAATATGAAGATGTGAATGGTTTAATTTAAAATTTTAAAATACTATCTAATTAAAAGAGGCCTCAAATTTTTGGAGGCCTAAAACAAAATTTTCATTGATTTTCTTCTTGAGTCATTTTTGTCCCTTTAATGGTGACACCACTTAGAAATAATCTTACGTATGCCACTGGCCTTACCAATACTTGAGTGATAGCTGTTATTATATGCAAATTCAATTAAAGGCAAGTGATTATTCCAATTACCCTTGAAGTAATTACATATGCCCTCAACATATCTTCCAAAGTTTGGATAGTACGCTCCGCTTGCCCGTCGGTTTGCGGATGAAAGACTGTACTAAGCTTAACACGAGTACTAAGCCCTTATTGGAAATATTTCCAAAATAGAGAAGTGAATTGGGTACCACGATTGAAGATAATGGACAAGGGAACTCCATGCAACCTAACCATTTCTCTCTAGTACAACTTAGCATAGTCCTTTGCCGAATAATAAACCTTGACGGGGATGAAATGAGCCGATTTTTTCATACAATCTACTATAACCCAAATCGAGTCATGTTGCCACCGGGTGCGGGGTAAACCAACAATCAAGTTCATATTCAAGTCTTCCCACTTCCAAGTATGTATACAAATGTCTTGGGACAAACCTCCCAATTTGTGATGCTCAACTTTCACTTGTTGACAATTAGGACACTTAGCCACAAATTTTGCAATATCTTTCTTCATCCCATTCCACCAATATACCTTTCGCAAGTCATGGTATATCTTGGTGGCTCCTGGGTGAATGGAATATCGAGAACTATGGTCTTCTGAGAAGATCTGCTCTCTCAAGTCATCTACATTGGGAACACACAAATGACCTTGATAATGAAACACACCATCTCCCCCTTGGGAGAAAGCCTCAACAGACTTTTTAAGCACCACATCATTCAATTCTACTAAAGTTGGATCAAGACCTTCTTTGGCTTTCACATTCACCACAAAAGACGATTTTGAACCATTGTGAACCATAACACCACCTTTGGTGGAGTCAAAAAATCGAACCCCAATCGGGCCAATCTATGAACATCTCGAACCAACTCTTTCTTATCTTCCTCAACATGAGCAACACTACCTATTGATAACCGACTAAGAGCATCCGTCACCACATTTTCTTTGACGGGGAGATATAGAACACTCATATAATAATCTTTTAGTAACTCAAGCCATCTTCTTTGGTGAAGATTTAGATCCTTCTATTTAAACACATATTGCAAACTTTTGTGGTCGGTAAAGACATCAACATGAACACCATATAAGTAATGCCTCCAAATCTTAAAGGCAAAAAGAATTGCCGCCAACTCTAAATCATGGGTAGGATAGTTCTTTTAGTTCACCTTAAGTTGCCTGGAGACATAGGCAATGACTTTCCCATTTTGCATAAGGACGTATCCTAACCCAATTCTTGAAGCATCATAATAAACAACAAACTCATCGGTTCCTTCTAGTAAAGTCAACATCGGAGCGGAAGTAAGTCTATCTTTCAACTCTTAGAAACTTTTCTTGCATGCTTTTGACTAGGGCTGCGTATCGATCGGTTCAGTTCGGTTCGGTTTTGGAATTCATCGGTTTTACTTATAGGTTATCGGTTTGTAATCATGCTAAATCGTTATGGAACCGTTAAGATATTGGTTTATCAGTTATCAGTTTATTGATTAGTGATCGTTATCGGTTTGATTATCGAGTTAACCGTTAACAGTTTGCACAAGTTTCATTGAGAATTACTAATGGACTAATCACTAATTAATAGTACGCAATAGCCAGTAGTCACTGATGAAATTTTCCATGTTAGTCCATTACTACATAAAACACCTAATAAAACTCCATATTAACGAAAGATGTCAATATTACCCAAATTAACGAAAGATGTCAATACTCTAAAGGAATCCTCGTAACAACAAAGTCAATTTCGATATAAACTATAAAGAGAGACCATTACAGCACTACTAACGAAAATCATTAATGATCATGAGACTATTACTAATACAAACTTTTTCATTGCAGATTGTAGTATTTCAATAATGCAGGCATATCTCACTGACTTACTCACTGTAATGAGAAGATAAAAACAAAGACTTAAAATAAGGGAACCAACCATTTGAACCTCAATTTAGACACTTAGAGAATGATATTCAATATAACTCACCGGTGTGGGAGCAGTGACAGTGAATCAATGAGTGATGTCGCAACTTTGGAATATTATTGTGAAATTTGAGTGTCAACTATTAAGTCAATGTAAAGAGTCTGAAGACTGAATTGTAAACCCTAAAGGCTAAAAGTGCCTAAGGCCTTAAGTGTTATAAATGTAATTAATTAAACTTCTTATTGGGTTATCGGGGCACCCTATTAGATATATGGCCACACCGAGACCCGAACTGAGAAGCCGATAAGAAGTTTATAGTAAATCGAGACCCGAACCGTCTAACCATTAACCCAAACCATTGACCCAATAACCAAATTATTGGTTCGGATTATCAGTTTTGGTTGGGTTTTGAACAGCCCTACTTTTGACCATATGAACTTAACCTTCTTTTGGGTCAATGTCGTCAATGGAGAGGCAATCAAAGAAAACCCTTCAACAAACCTTTTATAGTAACCAACCAAACCTAAGAAACTTCTAATATCCATAGGGGATAGAGGTCTAGGCCAACTTTTAACTGCATCCATCTTCTTAGGATCTACTACAATACCCTTATCGGAAATAATGTGACCAAGAAAAGCCGCAGACCTTAATCAAAACTCACATTTACTAAACTTAGCAAAACGTTATTGGTCCTTGAGAACTTGCAACACAATCCTCAAATGGTTGGTATGCTTGTGTTCACTCCTTGAATAGATCAATATATCATCAAATGACACAATCACAAATATGTCGAGGTATTGCCTAAACACCCTATTCATCAAATCTATAAATGCGGCCAAAGCATTGGTCAAGCCAAAGTACATCACCAAAAACTCATAATGACCATAGCGAGTTCGAACAACCATTTTCAAAATATCACCCTCTTTCACCCTGGATTGGTGATAACCCGACTGGAGGTCAATCCTAGAGAAGTAACTTGCTCTTTGTAGTTGATCAAACAAGTCATATATCCTTGGAAAAGAATAGTTATTCTTAATGGTAACCTTGTTCAATTAAGTGTAATCGATACACATACAAAGCGATCCATCTTTCTTTTGAACAATCAAAACTTGAGCACCCCCTGGAGAGATACTTGGTTGGATGAAACCCTTATCCAAAAAAATCTTTCAATTGCTCTTTTAATTCCTTAAGTTCTGCCGGAGCCATACGATAAAGAGGAATAGAGATAGGTTGTGTATCTGGGAGAAGGTTAATACCGAAGTCTATTTCCCTTTTGGGATGATTACTGGGTAGGTCATCATGGAACACTTCGAGAAACTCATTTACAATGGGGATCGACTCAAGAGTACGGGTTTCGGAATCCATATCCCTTACTTTTACTAGATGATATATGCAACCCTTAGAAATCATCTTTCTAGCTGGAAGACAAGAAACAAACCGATCTTTCAGCATAGAATTTCCTCATTCCCATTCTAGGATAGGCTCATTTGGAAACTGAAACTTGACCACTCGGGTTCTACAATCAATAGAAGCATAATAAGAATGCAACCAATATATTCCAATAATAACATCAAAATCTTGCATATCAAGCTCTACAAGATCAACATGAGTGACTATATGGGATAAGGAGACGGGACAATTGCTATAGACTTTCTTAGCCACAATAGATTCACTGATAGGAGTAGAGAAAGAAAAATGGTCTAACAACACATTCAGAAGAATATCAAACCTCATTGCCACATATGGAATCACAAAAGACAAGGTAGCACTGGGATCAAGTAATGCATAAACATCTAAATAAAAGACTTTCAATATACAGGTAACCACATCGGGAGAACCCTCTTGCTCATAGCGAGTCTTAAGAGCATAGAATTAGTTTTTCTTTGGAGCACTTGAACTCGAACCACTAGGAGAAGCTTGCCTACCTTCTCTTCCCTTAGCCGTAAGCGATGGACAATCCCTTATTTTATGACCACTCTTACCACAACAGACGCAACCATCCATGTCGGCTAAACACTTACCCTCATGCTTCCTTTCACACCTAGCACAAGTAGACAATGAAGATCCACCACCATTTCGTCCTTGAGGATTAGGGTTAGATACCTTATCTTTGTTGAACTTAGGAGGATCATTGGAGGAACCTTGACCGAAAAACCTTTGTCGGAATTCAGAACGACCATGTGCATCGGACCTTGAATGTGAGAAGTTACCATCACCGGTCCTTGCCTTCTTTGTCTCCCAATATCTTTCCCTAAAGTTCTCCTCTTATATTTGTTGAGCATGAACCATAAGACGAGAAATATCCATATCATTGATAAGCATGGTGGTATGACATTTCTTGATCATCATCTCGAACACGCCCGAAACAAACTTACTCATCCTTTCCCTAGGGTCGACAATCATAGTAGGAGCATACTTAGACAATTGTGTGAACTTTAAAACATATTCTTTCACACTCATGTTTCCTTGACGGAGGTTGATGAATTCAAGTATATTTTCGTCCCTCATCTCAAAGGGAAATAACCTATCAAGGAAAACAACCTTAAGCTTTTCCCAATCGAGAGGACCCGTATCAACCGCCCTCTCTTCTTTCCATTGGTTGAACCAAACTTGAGCAACACCTTTACGTTGGTAATCGGCCAATTCTGCCTTATCTACCGGCATCACTCCCATGATCATCAACACCCTATACACTTCATCAATGAAATCTTTAGGATCTTCCTCAAACTTAGAACCATGAAACTTCAGGGGATTCATTCTAGTGAAGTCCCTCACTCTAGATGTCGTCGTATCCACATTTAGGTTCACGGGAACCACAACATCCCTATTGGCTTGAGCCAACACTTGAAAATCAGCCCTAAACTCTACATTAGTCACTTGCTCGACCAAAGATGGGTTGGAACTTGAGGAGCTTGAGGAGGATCTTCTTGTTCCACATTCTCATTTACAGTCCTCATAACGTATGCTCTTTGAGGGGCCATTTCCTAAAAGCATCGGATTGGAATTATGAGAAAGGACATATAGAGTTAACTCTATCACACGACTTAGAGTAATAAAAGACGAGGAATTTCCTAATCATCTTATAGCTTCTTATTCATAAATGTGGGTTGCTTCACACTCATGAACAAGACTCTACTCGACGTGGCTTATAAGACATCCTAGGACCTCTCTAAACCTTGTGCTCTGAATACTAAGTTTTTCATGACCCAAGGTACCCCCCTAGACGTGACATGGCGTATAGGACCTCGAGAGTCCCTACACAAGTCACTTAGAATACATCATACAAGATAATATAGTTTAAGAGTTTAAAAGACAATTTATATCATAAAGAATTTGTTGAAAAATGAAGCGGAAGTCTAAACAGTCTCAAAGCCATCGATTACAACAAGAGTGATTGGGATGTAATCCATGCATCACATACAATATCTGTAAAGTAAAGACGGTAAGAAATAAAAGGTTAGGTCTTCAGAACATGAGGACTCACCACTTCTCAAAACTACTAAAGTGATCTCTAGCCACGAGGATGTGGAATCGAAACGTCGAATCCTATATTTGAAAGAATGTAGGCAATAGTAGCGTTAGTACAAATAATGTACCAAGTATGATAACAATGCATAGAAGATATGAAATCATGCTAAAAAGGACTTTATATGACATGCAATGACCAAGCTAAATCATGAGAAAAGGGGTTAAAAAACATAAATCATAAGGCATGATCAATGCAAGCTAAACATCTTTAAAACACGTTTTGAGATACTTCTAGAAGTAACCTTAGTTCATTACGGTGGGAGATTTAGCTTTAACCGACATAGAGACCACGTGAGCTATAACATGGAATCCAGTGTCTACCCCACATCAAAAAGAGGTGTCCTACTTGCCAAGGTAAGGATCATGAACTTCTGCTTACGTGGATCCACTAGCTAATATCTAAGATAATCATCCTATGAGGGCATATAGGTATGGGATAATGAGATTGCTACTAGAAACTCAGCCTCAATCTACAGGAGAGTTTCCATCTCAACATTCTCTCAGTGCTAAGCATAAATTCCACAAAATAATCATTATCTTAACTTGTCTTATCATTAAGAGGCATGGGTATTCACCGCTTGCCTTATCGTCCATGGAAGGCACATCAATTTGCCAATCCAAGCTAGATTTTATTAGAATAACTCCTAAATCTTGATTCAAAGTTAAGTTTAGAAAACCTTTCAACTCTAAGAATCCTTTAAGTGAGAAATCCTTTCACAACAACAACAACATGGATGTGTTAATCTCAAATCAACTTAAATCATTTTTCATAAATTTCATAAAGAACATGCATATCTTTATAAATTCACCCTTCATAGTTCAAAAAGCTTCTCCATATGATCATAGTATAGAAATCATAGATTTCACTTGGGTTTATGAGAATTCAACTTAGAAACATGCAATTACTTAAATTCATTCATAAAAAGACATAAAACCATCAATTAGATCATAATTGAAAAGAACCCATGAAATTGAGTAAAAACCCTAACTTCCATTAGAGATTCTACCTTGCAAAATTAGAGAATTTAGGAACCTTATAGAGGAAAGAGATCCATAGGTGAAGACTATCATACCTTGATGCCAAGAGCTTTCAATCAATGGTGAAATTGGAGACTTGACTTGTAGCCCTAGCCTTTTTCTTCAAGCTTTAGAGAGAGAAATATTTTAGGAAGAACTTTGATCAACTTTGAGAATTTTAGAAGAATGAATTGAATTAAGTGTTTTTGGGGGGTAAAACCGTGTATATAGGGCCTAGGGTAGAAGGTAAAACGACATAGTATTAAGTTAAAACAATAGCGAAAAGACTGAAATGACTATGACTTTAAACTGCTGAAATGCCTCTCTAGAAAAGCTTCACGGGCCGTCTAGAGCACCACGGCCCGTCTAGCAGGTCGTGAAGATGCTTTGTCCGACTGGTCTTTACTATTTAAGTCATAACCTTTTACTCCAAGCTTGGAATTAGGAAAAATTGGTGGCGTTGGAAAGATGACTCAAAGATCTTTAATTTGATATGTCATGGTTTTGAGCTGAAAAATATGATTATTTGAAGTTGACCCTAAACTCTAAGTCTGACAAGTTTTCTTTGCAGACGACTTCACGATCTGTGTAAAGTTTCACAGACCGTTTAGACATACATGGTCCTTTACAGTGAACTTATATAACACCCTACTAACTAGGTGACTTGTATGACCCATTTGACGGGTCGTTAAGATCACCACGGGCCTTCTAGGGAACCGTCAAGGTGACCCCTTCCTGAGGTAGGTTCTGGAGATGTTTGCGAGCCCCTTAACAGACTGTGATCCCTTACACAACCTGTCTTGGGCTCTGTGGAGGGTTCCATGGTCCATTTTTGGGTTCTTGACTTGCCCGCTTAACCCCTTTCTAGACTTTCTCTAATCCGAGGTGTTATATATCTAGACTTTAAAAATATTTGAGCTTCTACTTATTAGATAACAAAATATCACTAATGTCACACCTTAATTCCTATCCCTAAAGGCCCGAGAGAACCCATATAGAACCTGTTCTTACTATGCATCTATAACTATGACTATTTAGAGTTGTGACAAGTTCATATAGGATGCAGTGATAAAAACCAACATAGGTTAACCAAAAACTTATATACAAGGCTTGGCTATTGAGGCCACAACTGTAAAGAGACAAGACACAATTGAACTAAATACATTAGTCTACAAAGCCTCTAAAAGATAGAAAACCTTAGTTTAGATTGGGACAAGGCCCCACCTTACCCTTAACTATGATACCGTAACAAAATAGGTGCCAAAGACTTGGTAAGCCCTAAATCAACCTGGAGTTTCACCAATAGCAGCGGAGAGCCTGTGCTCCTACTAGCTGGAGAACATATGCCTGCAACATGAAATAAAGTATCCTCGTAAGAGACGTCATTACAAAAAAAATGTACTGGATATGTAAGGCAATACCATATGTAAAACAAGGTAACAAATGAAATCAAGTACCAATATATAAGTGCATAGATCAGAATAGAAGACCACTTTTGTTTAGTTTTGTGGGATCATGTATGTTATATTCTCTTCTTTACTTTTCTATGCGTTATAATCTTTGTAAGTCATGTGATACAAATGACCAGTTGATTAATGGTAGATGAGGATGGCCCATTCTAAGCATTTTAACCCCTGGGATGCTGTCCTCATAATTACACAAATTGGGATCGGCCCATTCTAGACTTTCACCCCCGAGCTGCCACCCTTCTATACCAATTGGGATCGACCCATGCTAGGCATTTTCCCCTGGGCCGCCACCCTTAAATATACAAATTGCTTCACTTAGTTTCTATAATCTTTGAGATTGTTGTTTTGGTGGTCATAATAATTTTTGAGATTTGGAACTACGGACCAGTAGTAGAAGACATGAGAATAATAACTAAAAGGAAGTAACCATGACATAAGGAGCTATGTAACATCAATGAATTACTTATGAGCTTAAATGACACAATTGACTTCAATTGAGTAAGAGCAGAGTTCACAAAGCTTGCTATTGTGAATACCATTTCTATACTAGCACATAGAAGGATAATTATACAAGTGTAGAGTAGTGAACATATAATGAAGTAATTCTACACACAAGGGAGAGGGGGAAAATATTGTTAGCTATTTAGTGATTGTACACTGCCACTATGTTTCCTTTACTAGGAATAAAACTTTGGAAATTAACTTTGTTGATATTAATAAAAAATATCAGATTTCATGCCATGGAATATGGAATCAAATTGCCTTACATACCTTATTCTCTGACCAATACAACTATCACGATTCAACCTCCCCTTTTAGGTGTTAATCTAAAGTATAAGTCATGATAAACTAAAATCAACAACTATCACACTGTGGGACTAAAAATAGCTAACTTTGACGGACAATGAGCCCATACAACCCTTAAACAAATGTGTTTCACCATGCCCTCCTTCTCTATCCAATACATACCTTATATATTCTTTCCCAAATTACCCAAGCTGCCCCCACAGCAATACACATAAAACAACCCCAAATATTCTTTATCATAACAACCAAATATTGAACTCACTATTCCTTGAGTTCTTAATAACAACATACCCATAATTCTTTACTCGAACTCATGCATAAGGAGGACAAAAATAGAGCAGTCGTCTTACCTCATTTTCCGCAACTACTCGTTTCAACTTGAACTCTTCAAGAACTTCAACTTCCCTTCACACTTAAAAAAAGAAGAAGAGAAAATTCTCTTAATAACCAAGAAAACTGAGTAGTAACTTATGGAAGCATTTTGCCTTGTACTTATACTTGAGCATAAATAATATGTTTTCCTAGTCTTCCATGGGAGAATTAAGCTAAATCTATGTGATTTCACTTACCTTTTCTTGCAAAGATGAGGGTTTCATCAAGAACCCTAGAAGGAATTTTATGGCCGCTGTTTAAGACTTGGAAGATAAAGGAGAGAGAGAGCTGGAGTTAATTCTGAATTTTGTGGGTTAAAATGAGTGGAAATATCAGCCAATATTTATCTTATATTGAGCTTTCTTGACCCTTAAAATAATCCTCTAGAACCTCTATTTTTAGCTTCATTTTCAGCCACTAATTGGTCAAGTAGGTGATGCACCTGCTTATGGACAACAAGCTGCTCAAAGG